GTTCTCACTGGCAGTATCAACAGCAGGTATGTTTTCCCTACCCAGTGCCCATGTGCAGTGTGATTTGGAGTACTCCAGGGTTGCCTGCAAATGGACATAAATTCAATGGCTTTCAACATGGTATTTCATTTCATTAGCATATCTCATCCTTTGGACACAGTCTTAATGTGTTCCATAAACCAGATGGGACGCACCTTTCACCGATATATTCCATTTATATTGGTTTATATATAAGAGGACAATGAGTGGTACCGTAGCACAACTTCTCCTGTGAGAAAGGCGTAATTACCAAAGGCATGACAATGCTTCTCAGCGCCCAGGATGCCTAACCCAGGGGCCTGCCATCTCAGTGGCACTTCTCTAGTGGAGTGGTGGTGGAAAAGGAAGTCTTGGAAGCATAAGATGTGCCGGAGCAGAGGAACATGAGCCATGGGAAGCTGCTGTCTCCCAAAAGAGTACAGAAACATTTGAAAAGAATAAAAAAAAAAAAGAAAACAACAACAAGAACAAAACACCCTTGTGTGGTTGTCAAGAGAATTTTTTAACTAAGATGGTAAAAAATAACTTTTCCTCTGCATTTGCATATTTTTAGTTTTCTTCATTTAATAAAAGATGTACAGCAAATGCTGAAATATCTTCTCCAAATATACAAGAAATTTAGCAAATTTTTAACGAGTATTTTTTTTCTCCAGGAAAGATAAAAAATCTCACTTATATTTGTTGATGTTAAAACTATCATCGTAAAGCTATCTTCTCATTTAGACATAAAACTGGTCACAAATAAACCGGAGGTAGGGAGAACAAAACCTGCCAGAAATGCTCTGAGTAAGCTTGTGATTCTCTTTGGCTGCAATATTCCTTTTTATTCACATGAGTAAGCCTCTTCAACAAGCTATTCTTGGTGAGAAAATATCACCCTTGATAAAACACTGGGGGCAAGTGGTCTCTTCTAAAGGAATGGCCTTGAGCAAGAATGATGAGTCAACAACTGTCCTCAGCAATCCAAGCTGAGATCTACATGGAGAAGAAAGGTACGTAAGAAGCAAGGCAAACCCCACAGCATGTCACATATGTTTGTTTGTTTGCAGCAACATCCAGGAAATCATATAAACATGGGGAAAAAATACATTTTTTGGTGCCTTCTGAAAACGTGAGGCCATTTCTTCACCTACACTAGGAGCAAAGATGCAATTTTTAATTGAACCCACTGTCTTGCCATGTTGGCAACTAAAATTAAAAACTACAAAACAAATGCTAGGATATTTATGTTTGCTATATTGCCCCATTCTTCATTCAGTACAGGAATTTGACTGGCTAATAACAAATCCCAGATGCCTCCCGTTACATCTACATATTATATGAAAGTGCTTCTGTTCTGAAAATCACAGCAGCTGAAACAGCACATGGCTCCTTTATCACAGTCTACAAATTGCATTTCTGGCTTCTGGAGTTGACATTAGAGCTATTAAAAAGATGGAGGCACTGAAGAGCCCTCTTCTAATTCTGATGTTGTCTCCAAAAAGCCTCATGATTTTACTCTGAATAAACCACTCAATTTCATAGAAAAGGCTCTTACAGAAAGCCCCTGAGGCCTAATTTATCATCTCCCCTCACTCTAATTTCTGTACTTTTCCATACACACTGAAAATAAAAAGTGATTATTCCCATAAACTTATTTGCCAGTGCACATTAGTCTTGACCTCCAAAAGACTTAAATACTCAATTCTGCAATTCTTCCAAGAAATGACCCAAACCACACTTTTTCTTTTAAAGAGAGGCCAGTGAATAAGCCCCTGAGATGTGCTTAATTCTGTCAGACTTCATGTGTGGCTTCTCTCCATGTGCTCTATAATGGAATACTCATACAGATTTTCTCTTATGTGTTTTGCCTACATAGCACATGCTTTTTGGGTTGTGAACCCAGTTTTTAATATGCCTACAATAAGGTAGCCCCAAATTTTGCTAGCACATCCTCTAAAATTCTGTAACTGTTTGCAAAAAAGTGTAAAAGAGTTTCTTTTTTTTTTTTTTTCCACCACTCCATGCTCTTTTTACTCTATACATTCGAACACTTAATGGTAAAACAGTGATATCTGAACAGTGTTATGACAAAGTGTTACTACTATACCTTGGTCTTTTAAAAAATATTTTTTCAATGGGCTTCTCATTATTCTAAATTGCATCACTTGGGAGATGTTTACAAAAAGGGGGAAAAAGTCTCCAGGGAAGAAATCCATAAACTCCTTTCTTTGACTGAATTCCTTTGTAAAGTACTTCGTGTATGCACAGCACACTCTGAAACATCGCTCAATTGCACTTCGAACTGAAATAAATACTTGCTAGAAGAGATTTAATACAGTTACAGAGGAAATACTACCTCTCAATAGACATGGAAATGGGAAGACTAGAAACGGACCAGGAAAACTAATGATGCTGCAGTAAAAAGTAATTAAAGTTACTGCAGGGGCCTTACCCTCAAGGAGGTAAATTACTGTAAGAAACAAAAGCTGCACAACAGCAAAAATACATTGCCATGATCCACCTATCCAGAAAAAAACAAGCAGAGAAAATATAAATTTAGAAGTATAAACATCCTTTCATACACACAGAAATTTCTTAGTACAATTACTAGGTAGGGCGATTACATGTATACTCCCAAAGCTTTATGTATGCCATAAAGAAAAGAGAATGCCCTAGAGCTTAACAATGGGTTAAAAATAATGGGCTTGTTAGGTTGGAAAGTCAAACTACGTGTATCCGTAACAGCTCCATTATTTGCTTTTCTATGCAGCTTTATGGAAGGAGATAGTTTAAAAAAGAAAAATCCTTCTGAAAGTTCAGAATACCACTGTTTTAATTTTCTATTAATGTGCTAGCTTCACTGGAAATAAACATGTTCCCCTTTTGCAGGATCTTCCTGTTAGTAACAGTTGCACATAAATAAAGTTTTCTAAACAAACATCTTATCTTTTTATGGAAGGAAGTCCATTAATAAGGAATTGACGTCCTTCCCTGAAAAAAAAAAAATCAGTGCTAATTCTTTCCCATAAACTAAAGAAATAAACTTACACCCTGAGATTTTTTACTCTATTTTCACAGCAAACTGGATAGTCTGCACGTAGATAAAATAGAACTGTTTGGGTTTTCATGTAAACAATATTCCTGTTGCTACCTTGTCACAGAATACGCAATAACTAATCTCTTCCCTCAGTTTTTGATTGCTTCATTTCAACTGTACTTCACTCATTCCCGTTTGAACTACAGCGCAGCCTGTGAGCCACTTTCAATCTGGGAGCTTCAGAAGCACATAATAACTGTTTAATATTTTGATGTGGGCAACTGTTTTCAGAAAGATGTCCATTACCCAACAAATGCAGGCAAACTAACTCTAGCAAATGTGCCCATAATATACCATACTCTTCAATAGCTTTGTCAGCTCCACACAACAGTTCAATTGACTAAAATTAATTTTGCTATGGAATATCCTCTGATGCAACCTTCATCTCTTTCCTTTTGTCCAAAGCAGCTTTTCCTTTAGACTATGAGACTTTGAAGTTGCCACTGTACTGTATGCTACTTTTGACAAATTAACACTTTTTTTCCCCAATGGATTCAGAAAGCCAGCATTTCCATCTATTTGCAACAATGTTGATGCTAAAATGTTTAATAAGAGTTTAGCTTCTCACTGTTTTTGTCTAAAACAATTTAAAATGTCAATGCCACAATGCACAGAGATAAGCCTAAGAGAATGGCAGAGTAACACATTATGTGATGACTATACTTGTATAAACTTAATATTTTTATTGACCACATTGAACGTTTAACTTCAGGGGACACAAAAAACCCATCACAGTATCTACAGTGAGAATTTCAAAAGGACTTTTTTTTTTAAATGGTGCACCAAACGTTGAAAAGTAATATAATTATTTCTCTAGAGCTATATCTGTAGATGAGTGTTCTACCAATGGCACCTAACCGTATTTTGAAAGATGAAGCACCATCATGTCCCACCAATCATGCTTTTGCCTATCCTAAGAATGGGAAAGTGAAATCTGATAATCCGTTACAAAGTCCATGCATCAACTTTGCTTACACAATGCCTCATTGGAAAAGGCACTGAAGGTATGTCTAATGCAGGTAAATAGAAGAGTGACAGGGAGTAAGACTGAGCACTAGACTCCTCCTCATCAGCTACAATGACCTCAAACATTCCTCCTTGACTCCATTTTGGACTAATAGAGTTCACTTTCCAAAAATAAATCTGCTACAGATATGACAAGCCCTAAGCAAATAGAACCAGTCCACATTACATGACCTTGAAGGTCAACTGGTTCCTTGCATTTTATTTGGCATCCATATCTAGTTTTATGCAGTGTCTATTAAAGTTTACATTTAGAATAGAATGGTTTTGTTGATGGTGGAACCAGTAGTCTTTATGTGATTGTGCACGTTTAGTAACACTTTTCCACTTAACTCCATTCTTTTCAGATGGTTAGGTCCTGAAAAAGGTTTTTCTTCTCAATTTGTGTTTAATTCAGCTGACTGTGTCATGGAACATTGAACCTTTTTAAAGGGAAAACAGAACACCACTTTAACATATCTCATGGCACAACTGGGAAACAGGGCAGATCTTCTAGTATCCAGCACAGGAAACAATCCAATAAAGCTATCTAGTCCCCCTGTATAACTACCAACTTCTCTATCCTTACTTCTTCATCCTCCTCCTTTTTTACAATAATGCTTCACATAACTTTTCTCATTCAGAAGAACTCTTGATAGTGGGAAAAGCTTGGGGAGGTCTCAAGAGAGCTAAATAAAGTATGTACAAACCCAACGCTTTTTCTAATTTTATTTGGTAAGATTAATTTTGGTAAGTGCTGTGAAGACCTGCTGCAGTTACTTGCTAACCAACCGATGTGTGAATGACTGCAGCTCTGACAAATGAACTGAGGGTAGTCAGCACATTCAGCAAAGAAGCTGATTTCTGTGGTTTCAGTTACCTGTACTGCCATCTTTTCCTGTCCGCTCATCTCCATGTTCTGCAACGGAGGTGTCACAACTGGAGGAGGAGGTGCTCTGCGCTTTTTCACTTCTGGGTTTGCTGTCATTCCTGAGATGTTACCGAGGGACAGCGATGAACCCAGGCTACTGGAACGAGAATTCACCGAAGGAGAGTTTGGTGCCGTGGAAAAACCCTGTAAATGGATTAACATCTTGGATTAAAATCACTTTTTAAAAACAATGGGAAAGAAAGAAGAAAAACAAGACACATCTGGTTACCGTTTAAACAATGATATGAATAGTCATATACGTTTCTTTGCCAAACTTGCTGAATTGCAAACTGTAACTTTTGGACACTTCTAAAGGTCAACTGGAACAAAGCTTACAGGCAGAATTAATAAATCAGAAGGCACTATGAGCACCTACTGCAGCTTAACAATACTGATGACAGGAACACTACTGCTGTTTGCTATTTAAAATATAAGCTTAAATTACATGTAGCACACATTTCTGAAAGCCAGATTTACTCTCAAGTGAGAACACAATATTAATCAGATGCTGCCTGTATACCAGGCTTGTCTATTTTGTTATTGATATGCTTGATTTACCTAAGACTTCTCTGCAGCTTTACAGAAGAAAAACACTTCTACCGATAAATTATTTCAAATTTACATGAAAAATCAAGCATAAGTATTTACAATCTGCTAAAGCCAACCAATGAATCTGGTCAAAAGACATCCCACTGACAGGTACCACTCTGGATTTAAACAGGCCCAGATGAAAGGAGAAGCAGAAACTATCTCAGCAATTCCTTAATGTTAAAATTTACTTAGGCTCAAAACTTAATGAAATCAATGGAAAAATATCACTGATTTCTGAACAAGACCTTCCTACATTTTTATATTAATATGCAATCAGAAATACATACAGTCATACAGTAGTAAATCCATCAATAGAAGTGGACTAGGAAACAAGATTACTTGAAAATGTGCATTTTTATTTTAGTTTGGACAATTGAAATTCAACTTATTTGCATTTTTAAATTTGCTAATGATGATCTTGCAAATACATTTCCCTCAAAACCTGTTAGTTCCCTTTCGCTATTTATATTAAGAGAAGCCTCCATTACTATTTAATTAAGCTATGAGACAGTTGTTTCTTCTCAGAAATGGCTTCTGTGAAATCATTACTGATACCAATCCACTATGAGCTGGAGCAAGATACCTACTCTCGAAGTGAAGGTTGATGACCATGACTGATAATGCTGTTCTTATCACAACAGAACATGCTACTGCATGTGCAAAACTCACCCATCCAGGATGTAAAGCTCTCAGGTGAAATTTTGTCCAAGACCACAGAATACATACTAGCAGGAAACTAAAGACCACCACAAATCTCATCACTTTCCAAATAAAAGAGGCTGTTCTTTCAACCTAAGTTCTCTAGTCTGGGAAGTGGAGGAAATGCTCTCCCTCATTTGTATGACTGCTTCATTACTGTGGTGGATATGCATGAGATAGTAGGATAATTCTTTTCTACAAGTGTAAAATCTTAGGTAAAAATTTAAAACATGGGGCATTGAGCTCAAAAAGACAATTAATTTAATTTGAGCACTGTAGAGGAAGCACTCATGAAACATAAAGAGCTAGAATATATAGCATCACAAAATATACACACATAATACAAGTTCCTGACTGCCTAGCAAGGTTCAGTATTTTGTAGATTCCTATGAAAGCAACTGAAAATGGTAATCCAGATAACAAATTGTTTTGTGTCCTGACCTCCATGTGATAATTACCACTGACTTAAAACTATTTGCTGGACTTTTTGGTTACCTTTTACTTTGCACACTGCACAGACTTCACAATATTTAGCACAAACAATGCATAGTACCAGCCTCCTCTGATCACTTGTAGTTTTACTAAACGATTAGAGCAGCATTTGCCAGATCTTTTTCATGACTAATTTATCTGAACTGACTAGCATCAATAGTTTTTTTCACCTTTCTAGCAAATGAACAAAAAAGCTCTAATTGGAAGGTGGGGTTTAAGAGACTTGGTCTAATCTTATAAATTAATAAGCTTTTTCCTTGCTCCTACATCTCAGGCAGTGGGAAAAATAATGATCTACTCTAAAACCTATTAAGTTTCAAGTTGATCACAGTCCATATTATACCTGGTTCTATAAAATAAACTTTGTTCACTCCCGAAGAAATGATTGGGTTCACATGGTGAAATACACAGTAGTCTCCTTTTCCCACACACTTACAAAAGGACTGAACAAAATCATTTTAAGTTTATTCTACAGGCTATGCTTTTGTGACTGTTTTAATTCTTTGATTTTCCTTACTGTATTAAAAGGTTGAGAAAATTTGTTCACAGATTTACAGATAAATAAAAACAATAAATAACCCAAAATCTTCCCTCCCAGCATTACGAATACAATGTACTGATAAGAACATAGGATGTACCTAGATTTAAATTAATATCCCATTCAATTCTAACTCAGTGTCTTGTGGTTCCCTTTTCAGGCACTTTCAGATCACTGTGAAGGAATGCAGTCATGAATAACTAAACATTTTAACCTATTTTTCTAAAGCTTAAATTTCCTAAGAGAAGATACAAGGAAAAAAAAAAGTAATACTAATATGAAACTGTAAATAGTCTATAATAAAAAGACTTTATCAAGAGAAAAAAATGAAAAACTTGGAAATTCCTCTACATTTTCATCACCCAGTCCAACCTTGATATCAAGCCCTTTATTTACTGAGTGAGAGTTTCAAGAATATTCATGTTGAGACTTTTCCCCTACAATAAAAACACACTACATCTTCCAAGGGAATGGATTGAGAAAAACATCAAAGTAGTTTTGAAAGCCCCATCATTCAGCAGTGAGAGCTCTGTCTAACTGGAGGCATATCTTCTAGGTCTCCCACAAGTGGAGCTCTTTTCATTATCTTTAAGAAAAAAAAAAATACACCTTTGGACACGAACCATTGATACAAGTGTTTTTGGCATTCATTTGGATTTATTTGTTGTTGTAAATCTGACCCAGAGAGACAACACCTTACCCAGCTCTAAAATATTTTAGGTTAGGTTAGATGTATTGCAGCTTCTTTTCAAATCACTGGATTTTGGAGACAGCTTTCAGACAGGTTAGTAAAGCAACAAGTAAAAGCATAAAACATTAACTAAGCAAACTTGCAGGGACCTGATATGCACAAGTCATTTGCCCAAATTCCCTCTCATTTGTTCTTGTTTTAATTTGTTATCAGTGGACCTATTTCAGTGGGACTACTCAAATTATAGCAGCATAGGTGAGAGGAAAACCAAACTCAAGCACTACAGCCAATATAGTTTTCTGAAGAAGACAGCCCTTATCTCCTGTTTCATTTGATAACAACAGGCTACGGTTAATGTTTTGTTCAGAATCAAATTTGGCTCCTACAATCTGTGTGTTTTGTAACTATGCTGCAGAAAAAAAAAAAAATCAAAAAAAATCAGGGCAATGAATTATATAAAGAGCTTTTCAAAATGTCTCCCGACTCGTAAAATCATAGTCTTTGCTAGACCACTGGTATTACAGCACTTTTCCTGCCATTCTAACAATTAAGTAATGCAAACTAGCAAGAAAAAAAGTTTCCTCTTCTTTTTTCAAATTAAGCTGAAGCAAACAAACACAGATGGACCAGCATAGGTCACCAGTAAACCTGGCCTCTAATTGAGCAGGTGTCTTGAACAGGTCCTAAACTACAACCCCAGACCAAAGTCCATTTCAGTTCCATGAAGCAGATGTTGGAAGGAAGCAAGGAACAGCTACATCTGTTCTGATGTATACATTGTTTAGTGTTACACTTGCCTTGGAGTTTTTTCCTGCTCTTTAAACTTCTGAAATACAAGGGACCTTCTTTATTGTTAATGCATATGACTCTTTAGGGATAAGCAGTTTAATTTCTGTGTTTTCCTCCCAGTTCTTATAGTGGAAAATTAGCTTTCGAAGACCTTTTGGATGGCCAGTACTGCTTAAAACACAGAAGCATAAAGGCTCAGAGTAACCCAGTGACTTAGGCATACCAATACCATGTTCAAAAGAATTTGACTTTCCATAAGACTACCAAAGGCCATAGCCCACTGAACTCAAGACAGGTTATGAGTCTAAAGCAGAGGCCAATCTGTGTTCCTAGACCATCACCCTGCAATGCAATTACAAAATGCCTTTTGCAAACTATTCGCTTTTTAAGGATGAACAGGAGCTCTCACATCTTACAGGTACTTCTGAAAAAAAATACATAACGATCGTATTAATAAACAAATTTAACTTTAATCTATTAAAAATCCATTAATATGTAACAGTACTGTTGTGAGAATTCTGTTTTACAAAAACAGGTACCTATAAAAAGGGAAGTCAGCTTATGTTTGTTTCCAAAAGATATCCCTGATATAAAACTCGTTTACCCAAAGCCCTGTTATTAGCATTTCCTTGATTTTCTGATGACACTAAGTGGCATTTAAAGGTCAGCAAGGAAGAGACTGCAGCTTGCCTGTGAGAGCGATCTGACTTCCCGTTCCCTGTCCACACCGGTCAATAAAAATTTTTCAAAATGTCAAGTTCTTTTCTTGTGAGGTTGCTATAGCCAGGGCTTTCTTCCGCAGCTCTCTGCCAAAACTCACATGCTTGAGCTCTCAGTCTTGTTATGCAACTTCCTTCTGAGAAGTTTTTAAATCAAAGGTAATCAGTTGGGTTGTTTTTTAGCACGTGATGTATGGGACACATCAGCAATTTATTTTTTTTTTCCCCAAGAACAGAGACAAAAGTAAGAATACAATATCATAACAGAAATTATTTTTTTTATAATTATACCATGGGCAAATATGAAAAATAAGATCTAGAGCAGGGAGACAAATCCATCTACACAGTGACAAGAATATTTATGCCTGTTGCATGTTTAAACTCCATTAATGTAAACTCTTATTGATTTGCTGAATGATACCCCAGCTGGTTACAATTGGCCATTTAAAATGCCAGACATGTTATGTCAGATCTACTGCACAAATTAAAAGTTAGTCTGCTTTCTCTGAGATGATATTGAAATTCCTTATACTAGCATTAAATTTGACAACACCAAAATTGAATCCAAGCTCCTTTGCTTCAAAACTGAAGCAAAATACTGTCATTGATGAGATTTCTTAGAGAC